GGGCCGTCGGGGCAATCGGGAGTTGGCAAAGACTACCAGGACATAAAAGTACATATTTTTCTCTTCAAATTAAAGGGCACAGCTATTATAAGTAAAGGGTGAGAATGCCACTGCAATGTTAAAAAATGTATGGGCGCACCTCTGCGCACGGACATGCTTCTGCCCGTTCAGCGGTACCGCCAGGGAGGCCCCTCGGCCCCGCAGCTGCAGCGGGCGCGGCCCCGCCGGGCAGCGGCGCGGCCCTCTCTGCTCTTACCTTGTAGGTGGGTGCATCAGCCTCAAAACGTGACATTCAAGAAGTAAAAACGTTCAAGCAATCATGTCTTCTAGGTCTTCTGCTTCTCCCGTATCAGAAAGCAGCCTGAGGGAATAGAAGATACCGCATTTCGCCTTAACCGGGCCAAAGCAAACCCGGGTTGGCAGTGTAGCTCCTGTACGTCCCTGACTGCCAGAGAGACGCTGGCTTTCTCTCTGCCCTTGGTCCGGCAAGTCATCCGGGGCAACTGCCAGCACTCGAGTCCGGGCAGTCATTTGTTTTGATTTTTTCGTGTTTTCTTAATCTTGGTAAAGGGACCAAACAAGCAGAATGTTTATGGTAAATAAATTTTTGCTTATGACTGACTACTTCAGTGAGGTGGAGATAGTAGGTGGACAGTATCCTCTATTCAATGAGTATAGAATGAAAATATGCAGCCTACAACCTTCATTCCAGTTTTAAGAACAAGAATATTTACAAGACTATGAGATTTATCAACCTAAAGAATATTTATGTTAACTAACAGGTCATTTACGAAGGCTATATCTGGGTAGTAAAAATCCTGAAACTTTTGAAAAAGAGAACCAAATTCTTTCATTGCATCAATTGTCTTAAATAAACAGTACACTAAAATGAGGCTTCGTGTTAAACACCGTCATTTAAATGGTTTTCAACAGAAGGAAATGGAAAACATTGGTGAAATTAACCTGACAGATGAGGTAGCAGAGCTACAATTTTAAAAGTAATATCCTTCCACAAGATCCAAGAAAAATGAAACAGTCCTGTGTTTTTCTGTAGGCTCCTTATTTTATTTTCTGTTGCTTTGACTGGCAAGCCCAAATATTTTAGCATGAATTATTATTGAGGAAAACAACATGATTATTTAATGAAGATTACGTCAGAGATGCATCTCATACCTCTAATAGCATAATATTAACTTTAAAAAGTTTATCCAGCTTTTCTTATTAAAAACTCAGTAGATCAACAAGAAAATTGTAGCTATGTTTTTTTTTCCCAGTGTTTTTCTGAAATGAGCATTCACAGAAATTAGAATTTCTGCAAAGTATTTTTCCTTCACTAAATCTGAAGAAGATTCTAGCTAAAAAATGTAGATACGAGTGAAAAATATATTCTTCTTCTATAGAACTATATCTGTGTCACTATTTTACCATTTTCTCTATTGATGGTTATTGTAATGTGAAATGTTATTAGACCCCCATGAACAGAATACTGATGACAAAAAGGAAGGGCAGTTACAGAGATGTGTGTTTCTGATTCATTTGGGGTTTTGAAAATATCTTCCTTCTGAATTTACTGTGTGAATACACACTTGTTCTTTACACTCCGAGTATCTTTACGTACATTTCAGTCTACCAGAAGGACTGAAATGCAAATATAGTCCAAATCTCTGAATGACCCTTTTTAAAATACCAATCTGCTGAACAGTGTCACAGACTTGCCTGGAGGTTGCCATCAAGGATAGCGTATCTCTTGGGAAGCCTGAAATGCAGGACACTTGCCAGAGTAAATACTACTTAAGATTCTTCTGATTTGTGTACATGTAATGATCATTAGAGCAGTTTCAGGGATAGTTATTAAAAAAGAAGGAGTGAGCACTAAGAGGACCCTACTTGTTCCCTGACAGCATTACCTGGAGTTACCTAAACACAGAGTGTGGTTCCATCAATAACTTGATTGTTACAGATGGGGAGAAAAAAAAAATTGTTTTTCTTTCCCATGTAGTCAAAGAATAGAGGAATCTGATTATTTCTTCATCGTGCATGCAGTCCTTTATCCCTACTAAAGCCAGCAATGCAAATGTTTGCTACAACAGAAAATGTGTTATGGGGTTTTATAGTAGTTGTCCACTTCTCACTTAACAGAAATAATATTATAATTCCATGTAAACATGCCTTCAGTCATATGTCATATTCTACCAGTACAGCATTTGATCTGTGAGAGGAGTCCAAAGTAACTGGCAGAATTGTCCCAAGAATAATCAATAAGGATTTATGTTGAAAAATAAATGGGATAGATGTCATCTTCTGGGAAACATAACTGAGAAAAAGTAAGAACAGGAAATACCTGAATGGCAGGTCCCACGTGATAAAAGAGCAACATTAAAGAATGTTTTTCTTGGCCTTCACTAAACAGATGCTTTCTCCAAAAGATGTTATTTAATTAAAAGAAAAATACCAGTATTCCCTTGATTTAAAAGGAAATAAATCATAACTGATACACTACAGACTACTTGTTTTAGGGTTTGAATCATCTACTTCACACATGTAGACAATATGATCCTCTTAACCAGTACTGTAAAACTCCTTAATATTGAGAGTATAGCATCAAAGAGCAACTTCATTAACCTTAGAGGCTTTTTGTTCCATGTTTCTGATTTAGGTTGAAGTTGTTTAGTTGAAATTTTGTGGGCTCTGCTTAAAGAGAGTATAACATTATGCATCCCACACACAGGGATTCATGCAAAAATAGATACGGTTACTTCAAACTGCAGGAAATATAAATCTTCAATTTAGATTAGAGAATAAAAATAAGAACTTTTGCTTACACTTTCAACAGGAAAAGGAGAAACAATCACAGTTTGCAGGAGGGTCTCTTTGCACCTGCAGTTCAGTTGCTGCAGTCCATCATCTTCATTACCTTTGAAAGCAGACTATTTTAAAAATGTTGAGCCACACTTACGAAGAACTCTGAGTGCTTCCTGTGCTGTCTCCTTACCTCAGTCTCAACCAGGGCTGGAATCTAATAACTCGGAACTAGTGATTTCCTGGCAGAATATTATATTTCAGCTTACAATCATTCTTTCTGGGAATTGAGGTAGTGCTGTGGAGAGCACTGAATCCCTAACTGTGCAGGCCGGATTAGATTTACTCTAATCCAATGTTTAAAAACAATATTTACCTTACTTTAGTGGAATTTTAGCCATTTCCTTTATTACTTTGATGATACTTCAGAGATAGTTTTAAACCTGGATGGGAAGGAAGAAAAAAAGGTCACAGGGAAAATTAGAGAAGCCTATATAAACATGACTTTTTCCAGCATTCTGATATATGCATGTTTATATTTATATATGTATATAATATACAATCTATTATTAGGAAATAGTTTGCTGCAAATATTTATATTAAGTGTGTTGGCACCAGGGATTTCATACTATTTGACAAATTCTGTTCTCATTATTGAAAAAGAATTGGTGCATTCTAATGTACTGTTGATAAGAAGGCAACCACAACATTAATCTTCCAGGGCTTAGCACTCCAAATCTCCTTCACAAGAGACAACACAAAATGCATTTGGTTTTTGTATTATTATAATAGATAAATGTATATCTAGCAAGCACCAACTTACTTTCACCAGTCCTGAAACTGTTTGACTGAATGCAGCTTGAAGATTTATGAATACCACTGTAAGGATCAAAGTTTGTTGTCACTGTGTCCGGTTAACACAGGCAATTATTAAACGGAAGGAGAAAACTATTTGTGCCAGAACTTGGACCCTTTAAAAACTCAGAGTTCTATGTTTAGAACAGAACAACGAATTACAACACACAATATTTTGAGGCTTTATTTCCAGTCATTTTATTCCATTCAGGATTTCAAATAGAAATCCTAAGCTACCACAGGTTTTGTTTTTGCATGAACAGTTCTTCCACAAACAGGGCAGAAATTACTTTCAGACAGGAATCATTATTTAAATAACACATGATTCCACCCAGTTACAAATACACTGGCAGAGCAAGAAAATTAAACTGGGGTGGGGGGGAGGTGTGGGGTGTGACTTGGCATATTTCATCAGTTCAAAGAATTATGAAATAAAATTCTAGACAATCTGCAAACCGAAAACACCACAAAGGTCGCTTATCCATAGCTATTTATTCTGCTATGCTTAATGACAAGTTTTGCAAGCAAACCATTTGGTAAGAGTTTCATCCTGAAGAAATGAAAATAACAATAGTAAAACTCAGCAGTTATATAAAATCACATATGTTTAAAGAGATATACAATTTAAGTGATGAGGTTTTTCCTCAGAGAAAAAACCCTTTGAATTGCTACTGAATGGAAAAGAGAGGCTGCTGAAAGTTCTTGGGGTGATTAAAGTTCCCACCTTTCTCAGGGGTAAAAAAGAGTTCACAGTCATTCCTCAAAATACAGAGAATCATATAATCAGGTCTCTGTCCAACCTGGGATTAATTTTTTCTTGGCTCCTTGTTTTCAGGATGTTCACTTCTCTTCTGCAAGAGAAAAAAATTAGATCCACCTTCATCCCTGTAATGCTTACTGGCCTGAATCCCCACATTGTCCTGTTGATCTCATACTTAAAGCCTCTTGGAGGCAATTCCCACTCTGTCCAAGTATTTCTGTGGGCAGTATTCTTTCATAACACCTGTTTTTGGCAATCGCCTTGAGTAAGCTGAGGACATAATTAGGTACTCCACGAACTCTGATATGTAGAAGATCTACATACCCATTTACCAGGATGGAAGAGTAATTCTGAAACAAAATAGTCGTGGTCTCTGGGGTTTTAGAAAATGTGGACTTTGCCTAAATTTTCTAAATTTGGCCACAACTTTCACAAAACATTAAGTAGCAGTGAGTCCATTGAAAGTATGTTTATGTCTTCTATATAAAGAAGTGAAGACCTTCAGAAGACCTCGGAAATGAAGGTAGGAAGACTTAACTCATCAAACTTCTTTCCAGTTAGTTAGGCAGTTTTATTCTTATACAAACTTCAGCATTACCAATACTAGAGAGCTCTAGAAGATACAGGAATGAAGGAATATCATCAAGGAACTAAAGCCATACTTCTCAGCTCTTGATGATTTGTAATAAATTCTAAGCATATTAAAGTATTAAATCCTAACAGTATTTAAAATAATTAAATTATATTTAATTTCCTTTTGGTCACTATGGGGTTTTTTTTACCATACCATGGAAAGTTATGGGAGACTTGTCCTGACTTTTGGAGACCATAAGAGTCTATCATAAATCCTTAAATTTACATGTTAGTCTTTTTAGACTGTTGCTTTAATTTTGGTTGTGCTTCAGCATTTACTGATACCATCAGAGGCCAGAGGTAGATTGTTGAAATAAAGAGTTTTCTCCTGATGAGATGTCCAGACAGACATGACTAGAGATGAGCAGCTACCCATGTCCTAGATATGAGATTCCATTGTTATATTACCCAGCAAAGTGGAAGTTCATTGTATCTGTTTAATTAGTTTTAGTACATACATTTCATGCTAATTATTTCCTCCCCCAGTATATTGTGATCTGAGGATTTTTTAAGGAGAAAAGAATCATTAGAATACTCTCAGGAAAAAAGGAAAAAAAAATTGAAATATAAATAATATAGAAGCAAGTTCTATATTGTTTCACTATATTGTATCATCAATATTCCTTTTTCTTTAACCTTTTGGACATTAGGTACTGTATTTTAAATTAACTTTGTTTAACTATCAGCTAAGAGTAATTGTAGCCACATTGTATCTTCTGTGATAATTGCCCATAAGATAGTGGAACATAAGGGTGAAGGAATGGGTCACCCAGCCTTCTTTGACCAAAGGATCTACTCAAATATTAAAACTAGCTCTTCTTTATATTGAGGGTAGTAGAACACTGGAACAGCCTGCTGAGGGAGGTCATGGATTCTCCCTGTCTGGAGACATGCAGGGAGAATCCATGTCCATACAAAACCCACCTGGACATGATCCTGTGTCACCTGCCCTTG